ATGTGGGAATAATTTGAACTCATTTAATATTTTCGGATACAGTTAAATCCAGACCTGTTAATGGTGACAGAGGCCACACAATGAACAGTTGAAATCCTTTGAACTTCTGTCTGAGCAATTGAAGCTTAAGTTACCAGCTTTTCCTCCTATGGCTCCACAGTCTTCCTGAAGACTTAGGAATTACAAAGATAAAAACTGCATAGACATTGCACATTCTCCTGACACATTACAAAGATCACGGACTTCGGAAGCACATGGATCACTTACACAGTCTTTCTCAGACCATCAGCCACCTGTTCTTCCTAAAACTGTGGATTCGATAACCAACCACCCATTAGAATTCTCTGGCCCTTCTCATCCATTTTCTGTCTTCTGCCAGGAATCCTAAATCCTCTTATCTTTGAAGGACTTTCTTGCTAGCTTTTAACCTCTCCATTCAGCCTCTTGCACAAACTGTAGTGGACCTAGTGCCGTCATGGCACCAGCTTCTTTGTGGATATTTCAACTTTCTCCACCTCAGTCCTTGTCCTTTGTTCTTCCCCAGTGTCGCCTTTTTTCCCCTGGTGGTTTTCATGAATTTCCCATCAGTCTATTGCCTTGTGATTACAAAGTTCACCTTTATACTGGAATACATAAAGCACCTAGAATGATTTTCGATAGGAGCTGGCCCCGTGGTATAGCAGTATGTGAGCTCTGTGCAATGGAAACCAGATCCCACATGGCTGACCGTGGTTCAGATCCTGGTTCCAGCAGCTTGGAGAGCAGAATAGTTTGATGCTCAATTCCTGGAGGAATTGAGAAATGGAGGAAAAGGGATCTTGCCCTAACCATGCTCGATTGGGGGATGCTCCCTCTCTCTTTCTGGTGGGCACCTATGCCCTCTAGTAATTAAATAATAAAATAATTACTTTGTTATCCAACTGTGGCTCAATAAACATGCATGTACCTGAAATTAGAGATATTAAATAAAAGAGACTTCTTGACTTCCGATTTCTAAAATAAAAATGAATTTCAAATGAATCAATTTCTTGCTACTATCTTAGGGTGTAGAAGGTTTATGAATGACTGAGCTTTGGGGAAAGGCTAGGTTAGAAAACTGGACATATTCTTTATTTATTTTCTTCTTTTTCTTATTTGTTTTTAAACATTCGATCGCTATACACTGTTCGGCTTATAAAGAGAATTTACCCAACATGAAATACACCTCAGACCAGTCCAGTTGAGTATACTATACATGTCATCATCAACGGGTCATCATCAACCATTTCTGGGTCCCACTCATGTCCTGCCTCTCTATTTTTTCCCCCTGATTTCCTTCCCTATACTCCTCCCCCTCCCCTCTACTCCCTCTACACTATCTCCAGTGGACATATTCTTTTAAACTAAACATTTACCATCTGTTACGGTCCTGTGGATACGCTGCATAGTTCCACGTTTTAGAAATGCAGAGGATGAGTCTATCCTGACCACTGGTCTATTTCCTGTGCTAAATATCTTTTGGACCTTGGATAGAAGCTGTTCGTGTCTCCTGGAGGTGTGTGATGAGTCATAGACATAATGATGGTACTACCCAACTTCTCACAAGAGTGCTGCACCAGTAGAAATCTAAAACACTAACCAGTTGTGTGTGTGTATGTGTCTGTGTGTGTGTATATATATATATATATATATATATATATATATTTGAACCTGGCCTCATGACAGATCACTTTGCCTTGCCTACAACAAACGAAATAGTTCCTCATTCCTTGTGCTATCATCAAGCAACTTGCTAGTTGTTGTCTTCGCTGAGCCACATGCCACATTTCACATCAGATTTATTGGCTTGGCAAATTTGCAAATGTTATTACGCAAACGTGGAGAAAGAGCAAAGCTGAAGAGTGTCCCCAACAATACACTTTGCTACTGTGTAGTATCTTTACTGGAGGCTCCCGGTGTTTTATTTATAGCTATCTATAAATACAGAGAGATACAGAAAAAAAAAAAACACATAAAAATAGCTTTATCAAAGAGTTTCCAGCATGCAAGTGTAACATCAAAAGCAAAAACCAGCAGGAGCAAACTGTTCTATCTGAGGAAAACCCATCTTCCTTCCATCTTCGCTGCCTTCTCTCCCTTCCCCTAGATGAGGATGACCGTGACTGCAAAAAGCATTCCCCAGGGAATTCTTTGAAGGGTGGAGGAGCGAGAGTATGAAGGCTGGGAGTGGGGACCATGACGGCCACCCCCCTAATATTTATAAAACCTCCATGTCTATTTCTGTGTTCAGTTCTTTTACCCTTCTCCTCTTCTACCTCCCTTTCTAGCAATGCCTTAGGTGGTGGAGGGGTGGGAGCAACTAGCTTGTCAAACTGGTTTGTTAGGGTTCTTTCCCCCATCCCTTGATTCTTGGGAAAATTTCTTGCTGGCAGTGCCATAGCTGTCTTCTCTGTGCTTGAATGGGTCTTCCCACTTCCTCCTGCAGGAGGAAAAAGGGATTAATGAAAGGGGCAGAGATGGACAGAGAAGGTAGAGACACAAAGAATAAGAGACATGGGATATACAGGCAGATGCGCACATGTCCTTGTCTTAGAGACTGGTTTGGGTAAGCTAGATGGGGTGAAGATTATACTCGGATTGGGGGCCCTCCCAGGTCAAAATGCTGCCTTTTCACTTACTACTTATTTTCATAGAGCTCTAGGAGGCCCCAGTGGGGCGTCCGGCTGCCCACGGTTGTGTTTCTAAGTCAAATTCATTCCCAGGGTGACAAAGGCAGGCCCAAGGCAGGGAGAAGAGGGAGGGTGTGGGAAGGCACATGGGCAGATCCGTTTTGCTTCTCTCCTTCACCTGACGGTCAGGTGCCACTGGCACCTGCAGGGGCACCTCAGCAAGGTGGGGTGGGGTGGGGTGGGATGGGGAGAGGGGCTCCCCAGCCTGAGGGTAGCCCAGCTGGACCCCAGTGGGCAAGGGCAGGGCAGGGGCAGTGGTTTCTGGGAAGGGGCTGAGGACAGGTTGGTTCTGACTTTTGCCAGGGTTTGGTCGAAGTTGTCAGGAGTTTAAAAAGAGGTGTGTGTGAGTGTGTGTGTGTGTGTGTGTGTGTGTGTGGAGTCCCTGCCAGGATCCATTTCTCAGGTCACCTTTCTCCCACTGGGGGGAGTTCGGGTCCTGTGGATGTGACACTAGCCTTCTCTCCTTTTCTCTCCCTGACGTCTGCTGGGGGAGGAAGGTCAGGACACCTGCCCCGGCCCATGCCACAGAGCTGGCTCGCTGCCCTGTGAGGTGCCTCTCAGTCCTAGGGCAACCCTGGCTTCCGGGGCCCCCAGGGCTAGGCTGAGGTAAGCAAAGCAGAGGCAGGCCAGGCGGAGGCCCTGGGGATTGGGTGGAGGTTCTGTGGGCGTGGGTGCCGGTGTGGGAGTGGGAGGGAGGGCCCCTGCCTCTGTCTCCGGCTCCTGCTACAATGGCCCTCTCAGGGGACAGACCTGGTTAGGAGAAATGACACTGCTGTGGTTTCTGTCTCCCATCTGTGACTTCCAGGGGATCCTGGGTCTAAGAGTGTCCATGATCACAGCTTCGGTACAGGGATTGAAATACGTCGTTTTGCTTCTAGGGGCGAGAGGCAGCAAAGAGGAGGAGGAAATGGTCTCCCAGGATCCTCTGCTGTCGTCCCAGCATTGGGGATGGATTCGTGCTTGAATCCTAACCCCCAGCCCTGGGAAAATGGAGTCAAAGAAGATGAGGCCCCAAGCGTCTAGTGATGGTGTCCCTATGTGCTTTAGAATCATCTTTCTCCTGTGCAGGATGAGTCGCTGGAGGTCTTGTTGGGCATGTGGTGAAAACTTTGGTGGCGCACATGAGTTCCGGGTGCCTCCGTTTTCTCATCCATACAATGGGGCTGATTGAAAAAGCCAGTGTTTTACATGCATGCTTTGCATTATTCACCAAGGTGTGTTGTCACCTGCCCAGTGAGAGCCCACTGGGCACTGCAGGGGGTATTCCAAGGTTAAATGGAGAGGAAACTTGTGAAAACGTAAACACGTTATTAAATGGGAGATATTATCGGATCCCCTTATTCAGCATGGACATATTTCCTCCTTTCCAGCACCACCTTCATCGCATATTCACGTAGCCCTGTGCCAAAAAAAACCCCCAAAACAGAACAAAACAAAACAAGAAAACACAAAACAACAACAAAAACAATAAAGGAAAAAAAAGAAAAAAAAGAAAAAAAGACCCAGAAAAAAAAATCATTCCATGTAGAGAATAAATGGAATATTCTGGAACGCACTCCTATCCTAGGCGCAGTTTCCTGCCTTTCCTGGGTCCCTCCGCAGGTCGCGTTTTCTTCTGTCCTTTAGAAGCCAAACGTTTTTGCTCTTTATTTTAATAAAACATCAGCCCCTGTGGCTCTTCATCTCCCCCTAGTGTTCCAGTCCTGCCATTTCTGAAGCGTGATGGTTCCAAGCGTGGAGCGAGCCGGAAGGGGAACGGTGCTGCAGAAAACGGCTTAGAGGGGCTTCTAAAAGTGATTATTATAAAAAGAGCGAGTACGTGCTTCACTCTCTATTTTTTAAAACCTCTCTTCCTTGCCGATCCCTCCCCAATCTTCGTTGCAAAGAACCTGAGTGAAGTAGACTCAGGGGAGGGGGCTTGAAGTCTGAAAAAAGTATGTCCATCTGCCAAAATAATAGGGGCCCAAGTAGGGGGGGAGTGGAGGGGAAGAGTGTTCCCTTGTCTGACTAATAAAGAGGAGAGACATAAAAGGAAAATGAAGTGAACAACAATAAAAAAAAAAATTCCCCGCACACAACAATACGATCTATTTAAACTGTAGCTCATACTTTTCATACCAATGAGATGACTTTTTTCTGGACTCCCTCTTCTGAGTCTTGAACTCTGGGGCTGGCAGCTTGCAAAGGGGAAGCAGGCTCCAGCCCTGCACGGGCAGGTTTACCAAAGGTCCCTAATGGGTATTTTCTTAGCCCTGCCCCTGAATTGTCAGACGGCGGGCGTCTGCCTCTGAAGTTAGTAGTGATTTCCTTTAGAGCCCAGCCTTATCTCGAGCTGCACGTTGGCTGTTGGTGACTAATAACACAATAACATTGTCTGGGGCTGGAATAAAGTTGGAGCTGTTTACCCCCACTCTATAGGGGTTCGATATAAAAGCCGGCCGGGAGCTGTCGGAGTCAGACGCGCTGGTGCATCTGCTCCCGAGCGAACACCGAGAGGGTCCTCGGGTCTGCGCCGCGATCGGTCCCCGCACGCCGCGCCGCGCTGCGCTCGCCTGCAGCTAGCTCGCGCTGCCTTCGCTGCGGGCAGACAGGACTTCGAATCCCGGTTAAAGGCTCTTACGCTGAAGGATCACTTTGAGATCTGAAGAACCAGAAGCGCTTCGAAGGGAACTGAAGCCGTTTTTTTTTTTCCTTTGGGCTCAGTTTGCAGGGGAGGTTTTTGGATCTTTTTTATTTTCCCCCTCCCCAGCATGGATTATTTCCCCGTGATTTTCTCGCTGCTGTTTGTGGCTTTCCAGGGAGTTCCAGAAGCAGGTAGGCATGCTGGCTTACAAATCTCTGAACGTTCAGGTTTTCTTATCCACCTTCGTGCTTCTCTGGCTTCTGTATTTTTCTCTTCTTTTTTTATTACTTCAGTTCAGATAGCAAGTGTCTGGGATGTATTGCTCAAAGGTATTCAAGTTTTCTAGTGAAGAAAATAGATACCTCTATTGAATGCAGTTGAATGCGACATAGCATTTAAATAACTTACCCTCGTTATTATTTTTGCATAATGTAATATTCGCTTGATTAAAAAAAAACTGGAGAAAAACATATAAACCCGATATAATTTAGCCAAATGTAGATTTGCAATATACGTGTTCATATGGTTATATGGGACATATAGGAGCTTCTATCTCACTCGAACACCGTTTTAATAGGGTTAACATGTAAAATATTTAAACATTCCAGCTTAAAGCCAAGGAATTTTATTCAAGTCATTCAAGCACTAGATACATGAGCAGTCAAATCACCTGCAGAACAGTCTGATGAATAAAACCCTGCGGCGGTTTCAGGGTGAAGCAGATGTTTTCTTTAAAATTTGTCATTATTGACTTTAGGTTTCATCTGGCAGGTTTTTGGCATCCCATACAGTGTAAGCTTTATTTTCAGTTTGCTTCACCTGTCCTGCGAGGGGGAGCTAGGGTGATTCCAGGCTGCCTGAGGATTTAGACAGTACGTGTGCATCTGCCCACCCCCTGCCCTCCCACCCCTTTTTAGGGTCAATGCACCGTTTTTGTCTTTTCATGACCCTGGCTCAAGAGAAAGGATGTCAAAAGAATGAAACCCCCAGGAATGTGTCTGATCATTTGAAATGTCCAAAATCGGGCAGATAAGCTGGGTGGTTATGGGGCACTGCTGTCGTGGGGAAGGAGGTTGGTGTATCCCATACAAACCACACCGTCCCTGGGATACTGGGTCTCAAATCCACACAGCCTTGACGGGGTCCCCGAGCTGCTTCTCAGCGTCACCTTAGGTCACTCTGGAGTTTCCAGCTGAAAGGCACATTGAAGAGTGTGTTTTCTCATCTCTCTACTTGGTGCTTCAGAGCTCTCCCCTCTGCCTCATTTCGAGGAGTATGAATCCTCAGGGTGACTTGAGCCCTTCCCGAGGTGTGAAAGGGGCTATGGTCCTCAATGGGAAAGTGAGGAAAAGGCAGGACAACTTATTTCTCTGTAGTCATCAGTCTACTCTGAACCTTTGTGGGTGGTGCGGTCCTACTGGGTGCCATGCAGAACTTAACCCAGATTTCTAACGGGTAGCGTTTCCAAGCATTTCCTTGAAGGCTGCTCACGGGGGCTGGTCAGCCTCTTCTCAGGTGTTCCGTGCATTTGTGTAGTCTTCCCGAAGGTAGATAAGCCAGGGAGGTAGAGGTGAGGTCATGCTAAGGAGAGAAAAAAAATAAAAAACCTAGTCACTCCTGTTTGTGCTTCCCCTGCTCAGCTCAGCTCTTGCTAGATCCGGCATAAATGCCATAGCCTCATAACCTGGCATGTCAGGGCCTTCCGAGAGCTGTTCCCCACTGACCTGCGTTCTCTCTCCCCAGCGGTTCTGGGCGCCGAGCTCAGCACAGGGCCTGACGACCCAGGGGAGAACCCCCCTCCCAGCCCATCCCAGCGCCGGTGCAAGCGCTGCTCCTGCTCGTCGTTGATGGATAAAGAATGTGTCTACTTCTGCCACCTGGACATCATCTGGGTCAACACTCCCGAGTAAGTCTCTAGAGGGCACCGCGTCCAGCCATTCATTGGCCCTGGCCGCTCCAGAGACGGGGGCCCTGATACCAAAGTCCCCTCTCCAGAGGTTTGGATTCAGATGGTAGCACTTCTGACAACACGAAAGCACCTCGGTGGGCATAATAACGGGAAATAACAGGACAGCTTGGTTCTTAGCAACCAAGGAAGAGGGTCTTCCTAGGCCCCAAGGTGCGAGCTGCTCCCTACCACAGAGATGGAAGGAGCTGGTGTAAGCAGGGAGCTGCTGCAGGTTTCAGATGAGATGCGTGAAATGAGGGGGTCCCCTGGGGTTCTCTCTCAGTGGATCTGACTGGGTAGAGGGAATAAATTGCCGAGGTCAGATGTGGGTTAGTTTAATCTGTGTTTCTCATGGGAGGGTGGAGAACGTGAGGCAGAAGAGAAGGTAGAGTTATAATCCAAACCCTTCATTTTACTTATAGAAAAATAAAGACCCCCCCCCCATGTGGAAGTCATCTGTGTAGCAATGACTTTGTGGGAGAGCTAGAATTGAAAGCTGGAGCTCCTTCCTCACCTGGGCTTTCTCTTTAAAAGAGCCCAGGTCAACACAACAAGAGAGAGTCCTTACGTTTTCCTTCTATCTTCAGAGTGAAGAATAGTTTTCTCCCTTTCACTCTAAAACCTCGTCCATCCCTCAGAAGCCATCCTGAACAGAAATACATAGATCGTGTCAAGAAATTCCTGTTATGGAGAGGGATGAGCAATATCTAAACAAACGCTAATCAAACAAAAGTTGTAGGGAGCTTAGTGCTTAGTAAAGTGGATCTTCCAAGATGAGAACTTTATTCCTTAGGTGAGAATAAAAAACGGACACATTGGACATTATTGGTGTGACTTCTGGCAATAATTTCTTCTTAATTTGTTGTTTGTTTGTTTATAAGCCAGGGGGCACATTCACTTGTATGTGTGTGTGAGAGAGAGAGAGAGAGGAAGAGAGAGAAGGCGCCCTCCCCAATAGCATGGTCACACTATAATCCTTTCTTCTCCATTTCTCCATTCTGTTGGGATTTGGGGCACACATGTGCATATACCTGGCATCAAGCCACCAGATTTGAGCTAGAGTCAGCCATGTGGAATCCAGCTCTCTTAACCACTAGACGAAAGGGCCTGGCCCTGGCAATGAGTCCTCCTACAGTCATCCGATCTCAGGCATCTGCAGGAGATGTGTGCAAACGTGTTTCCTCTCACTCCCTTTGGGAAGGCACTATTAAATTACCATCTCTGATTCTAAATGAAAATAAATTTTAAACATCTTGTGCGTTGTCATTTTGCATTGAAATTTCTCTTCTCTCCATCCCTTCCAATAGCTGTGGACTAAATAGAATTTTAGAACAATGAAGAAAATCGGACATAGGCACCAAGTCGAGATAGCATCATTCTGTACCAAACACACTATTGCTTGTATTAAGAAGAAATTGCCGTTTGTTGAGAGTGGAGATCGGATTTCATTGAGTTAGGATAACTGGTTTTCTCCTGGGTGGGCACACACACGCAAGGCCACCAAAGGGTGTGTGTTTCTGGTTGTCACACTTTCCCCTCCTAAGTGACGTTCCCATGGGATGAGCTCCTTGTGGACGAATGCAGTTTGCCCCCAATGAATGTGTCATTTTGAAGACTATTGATGATGCTAATATCTTTTGCTCCTCTCTTTTGATAACAGGCACGTTGCCCCATATGGACTTGGAAGCCCATATAGGTCCAAGCGATCCTTAAAGGACTTATTTATTACGAAGGCAGCGTATCGCAAGAGCAGGTGCCAGTGTGCCAGCCCAAAAGACAAGACGTGCTGGAATTTTTGCCAAGCAGGAAAAGAACTCAGGTGAGTAGAAACACCTTTCCTGACTCCCTTCCTATAGTGGTTTTGCCTTTCTTGTTTTAGAGAGTCTAATGGAGTCATTTTTCTTGTGTTTTCACAGGGTCCAAGAGGCGATGGAGAAAGGTTGGAATAACCATAAGAAAGGAAAAGACTGTCTTAAGCTAGGAAAGAAGTGTATTCGTCAGCAGATAATGGAAGGAAGAAAAATAAGAAGGTAAGAAGCTCATGAGAACAGCTACTCCTGCGCACCAAAGCTGGTGACGTAAGATTACAACAAAGGGGATCTTTGTATTCTCTAGATTAAAAGGAGCAAAGGACTCCCTCTTAGATGTTTTCATGAAGACCTTGAATGTAAACTGCTGCCCGTTGTACTTCTGTCCTTTAGCACACACCATCCGCCTATAGGTTTCCCAAGCAAAATAGATCCAGCAACACCTTTGTTCCTTGGTGACCTTCACTCTTTACTTCTGGACATGCTGATGCATTTTCCACATTCTCAGCAAAATGGCAAATCATTTCAGAAAGAGGACATTCGAAAAAAAAAAAAAATAGCAGAGCATCATGGCTAATCAAGTTCTCCCACAAGTAGCATTCGAAAGGCCAAAGAGTCATTAGATAGGGTTGGTGAGATTTAGAACATGCTGTTTTTCAAGTTTATTATTATTCTTTTAAAGAGGGAAGTACACTTGGTGGAGAACTGGTGTCATTCTCTCATGTTCTAGTCAGTCTCTGGCCAGGCAGAGAGGATCTGCATTAGGCAACACCACAAGGTTGCTCTGAGCAGCTCTCTGGAGATGGCCCTTCCAAACCCTGAACTATTTGGAACTCACAAGCTGGAGGGAGGAACCTCAGAAGGTAAGAAGCTCATGAGAACAGCTACTCCTGCGCACCAAAGCTGGTGACGTAAGATTACAACAAAGGGGATCTTTGTATTCTCTAGATTAAAAGGAGCAAAGGACTCCCTCTTAGATGTTTTCATGAAGACCTTGAATGTAAACTGCTGCCCGTTGTACTTCTGTCCTTTAGCACACACCATCCGCCTATAGGTTTCCCAAGCAAAATAGATCCAGCAACACCTTTGTTCCTTGGTGACCTTCACTCTTTACTTCTGGACATGCTGATGCATTTTCCACATTCTCAGCAAAATGGCAAATCATTTCAGAAAGAGGACATTCGAAAAAAAAAAAAAAATAGCAGAGCATCATGGCTAATCAAGTTCTCCCACAAGTAGCATTCGAAAGGCCAAAGAGTCATTAGATAGGGTTGGTGAGATTTAGAACATGCTGTTTTTCAAGTTTATTATTATTCTTTTAAAGAGGGAAGTACACTTGGTGGAGAACTGGTGTCATTCTCTCATGTTCTAGTCAGTCTCTGGCCAGGCAGAGAGGATCTGCATTAGGCAACACCACAAGGTTGCTCTGAGCAGCTCTCTGGAGATGGCCCTTCCAAACCCTGAACTATTTGGAACTCACAAGCTGGAGGGAGGAACCTCATTTCAGAGCCATCACATGCTCTCCATTGCTCTCATGTGGTCTAGGGAAAGTTTTCCTAGAAATCCAGTGGCAAGAAGTTGTGTGAGCAGAGTGTTCTGAACACAGGCCAGGCATGCAGGAACCACTGCTGAGTTGTTTACTACCGGTCTAGGGGATGGTCTCAGCTCTCCCTCCTTCACAACTGCCATTACAAGTCCCATACTTACCATCTCAGGCCAGGAATGGCCCCCTCGAGACCATAGTTTTTGAACTGACCTGAAAATGATTATTTTTTTCTATCAGTGTTTGCCAACTATTAAATCAGCAATACCATTCTTCCTCTTTTTTCCTCTTCAAGAAAGAAAACATTAGGCCTGCAAAATAATAATAATAAAGTGAAAATAATTCCCTTCGAATGTTTGCTTTGAGCCTACTATATAAGAGACAATGAAAGGCCTTCAAAAAGTTCATGGTGGGCTGGCCCCATGGTCTTTATTTGTTGTTTGTCTGTTTATAAACCAGGGGGCACATTCGCTTGTGTGTGTGAGACAGAGAGAGAGAGAGAGAGAGTGAGAGGTCAAGGGAGCCAGTATCCACATGGCCAACCACAGTTCATATCCTGGCCCTGGAGGCTTAAAAAACATACCAGGTGTGTGTGCATGAGCCTAAAATCCCTACAGGATGGAGAAACGGAGGAGACGGGATTATGGCATGACTACGTCCCATTGGAAGGAACTTTCTTCCTTTCCCTCTCTGTCTCTCTCTGAGGATTACATGCATCCCCTAAGAATTTAAAAAGAAAAGTTTGTAGAAAATTGCACATTATGAAAAATTATGCATGATTTTCATTTTGTTTGCCTCAACATAAACCCATACTTTAATTCTCTTTTTGATGAACTTTTTAACATCTCACTGGATGCTTGTTTTCTTTGTGCTTTTACTACGAAGTCCCTGTTCATTTCTTACATGATTGAGAAAGTACCCATCCATGACTTTTCGAAAGGTGTGCTGAGTTTCTGCATGCAGAGACTCACAGTGGGAGAGGTTTAGATGGGTCTACAGAGACACTAGGATATCTCTAGTTTATTTTAAAATTGTATTTAATGCCCAAATTCCCCTTACACAGCCAAATGACCCCCTCCCTCCCTCCTCATTGTAAGAGGCAGGCTTTATTTTCACCCGGGTAAATCAGATAGCACTTGAAGCTTGCAGTTGGTGGTGAAAGTTCAGGAACCAAATTTAGATTCGTTTGTGCCAGATTCTAATTTTAGATGTTTCTTTTGCCAAGGAGTAATTTTTTTTTTTAAATAACATTTGTTTTCTCTTGTCTTGTTTTAATAGGTTGGAGGCCATCAACAACAACATCAGAACAGCTTTCCGTGCTGCAAAGTTAAAAGCTGAGCTTTATAAAGAGCAGAAAGTGACCCACAACCGAACACACTGATGGCAGGTCGGATGGGCCTGTCTGAAGCCATCATGCCCTAGAGAGAGCCCCGGAACCGACGCTGCACATGGGATGGGATCAGAGCAGCAGAACCCTATCTGCTTACACCATTTCTTGCTCCAAATGGCTCAGGACCAGAGCCCTTCTTCTGAACATTCCAAGAAAGATTAGGGAGTCCCCCCCCCCAAGGTGTCTTCCTTTGCCTCCATCTGTGGTAACTGCTTTTGTCTCTTCTTCCATTTGGGGACAACCATGGACCTCTCGGAAAGTAGAGACACAGGGACATCGAATCACGGTGGCATTCCCCAGTGAAAGAAAGGAGATTCCACGTAAGGGTGGAGTTTCTGAAGAAGGTCCTAAGGGAGTGTTTGTGTCTGACTCAGGCGCCTGGCACATTTCAGGGAGAAACTCCAAAGTCCACGCAAAGATTTTCTACGGAATGCACAAATTGAAAGCACACGCAGAGGACAAACACTTCAGTGACCAAAAAAAAGGGGAAAAAAAAAACTTTAAAAAAATTTCACACAATGCAAAATTGAAAGAAACCATTACTACTGTAAGTCTGTCAGATTACATTTCCTGCCTAGGAGTCTACCTCACCTATACTGCACGTGGGCAAGTCTTTCCCACCTTTAATTATTATCTTCCCAAACCCTGCCCCAACCTGGCACCCCTATCTCCCAAATCCCCATGCTAAATCCTAGCCTCATAGAAGTCTGGTCTATGCATAAGTGGTAGATAGAACATTTTTGTGGTAATCTACTAGCTCTGGTCCATAAGAAAAAAAAAAAAATCATTGAATCAGGAGATTCCCTTACCTTCATTTTTGAAAACACAATGGTATAGGGTTGTTTGTGAGAGATACTAAAGAGTAAATATTGGTTATGCTTTAAAGCAGCAAAAGTACTTTCCTTATGTAACCGGCTGATGGAAGAGGTTGGATTGAATTGTGATGTACTTATTTTTTATAGCTATTTATAGTCAAACAATTTATGCTTTATATTTACTGTGTTGAATATATGTTTGGGCAGGCCATATTGGTCTATGTATTTTTTTAAATGTATTTCTGAATGAAATTGAGAAAATGCTTTGTTTTGCCTATCAAGGTAATGACTTTAGAAAATAAATATTTTTTCCCTACTGCACTGATTTAGAGTTATTTCTGCAACTCCCAAGTGGTAAGAAGTATAAATGACTAGAGATGGCTTCTCAGAAAGGTGGCAGTTAGAAGAAAAATAGTCCAAGCTAATCAAGAAAAGAACTTGATCTATACCTTAAAAGTTTGCTTTTAGATTGCATTAAGATAAAAACAACACAGAACCAAGAAACAGCTTTCCTGTCTCTGTCTTCTCTTGGGTAACTGCCTCCTGCTTCTCCTTTGCCCCCAAATTCTCCAGGGGCTTCATCCATTAACTTTGTCCAGGCTGTTAGGCAGGATCCAGCAGTTTAAGTTGATGGTGTGGTGAGAGGTGCTTTCTCCCTATTAATGGACTGAAGAAAGTGATGGCAGGATGACCTCCCCTATGGGCCTCATTAGATACAGCTTCACAACTAGAGATGCTTTTAGAAAATGGTCTGTTCTAAGTAGAAAGTTGCAATGGCTTTTTATTTGCTCAAAGTATTAATATTATTTACTAAAGAACATTGAGTACCACTGCTTCTTTGTGGGAGTCCAGTACTGGCTTCCTGCCCCTGGAGGCAGAGACACCAGGAGCTCTTCTAAGTCACCTACCTCACGGCACCACCCTTGTCTCCACTTTGCCTTGGCTGGCCTTCCCAAACCATTGGAAAGGACAGTCTTGTCCATGATTGTTACCAACAGATGTCCAGAAGAGCTTGATCAGCCTTCGAGAATCTTCACCCCCTTTCTCTAGTAGAGTCTGAGGAATGCTTCTTGGCATTACGCAAATGAGCTTTTATTGATCACTGCTGTCCAGAAGGATGCCAAGTAACAGTCTTTGGGTGTTGGTAATCTATTTTCTGGGTAGAGTTTCCATCTTTATTGGTGGATACTTCTTTTTTGTCTTCTAGTTCTTATTTACTTATTTATTTATTTGTAAGGCATCGTCTACTATCTTTGAGGAATTGTTTCTTAAACCCACCTAATCTGGCGAACTGTTTCTCAGTCTGGGATTCTCAAGGGCAGTATAAAGTGTTGCCCACGTTGACAAGATGGTTGGCCTAAACGTGGCTTCGTCACTATTTAATCTTGAGCAAACTATTTGATCCCCTCTGATCATGAGTTTCCTCATCTGTTAAATCGGGGAGTGGAGGAATTTCTCTAATAGCTCCAAGAAAACAAAAACAAAACTAGAGTCTGGAATTCCATGAAGTTGAAGCAGTAAAAGAAAAAAAAAGTCTGAGCTTAGAGAATATCGATCTAATAGACTTAAGAGGAAGTTTGGATGGAACAGCAAATTAAATGATGAGAAGTGCGAGTGTGTGTACATATGTGTGTGTGTGTGTGTGTGTGTAGGGCTTTACACAAACTCTCACTGTATTGTGATCCTCCTGCCTCAGCTTCCCAAGTAGCTGGGAAATATAGGCACATGCCACATGCCCCGCTTTTAAGAGGAGCCAGGAATTGAAGCCCAGCCTCCCCTGTGTCCTCAGCCCAGGCTGCTGAGTAGTGGTCTCTAGTGCACTATTGCAATGGGGCCCTTTCTTTTTCAAATCAATCTAACCCTTAAATCTCCCTCCCCCCTGCTTTCTGCTTCAGTGATTGGCAAGCAAAATGAAAGGCATAGGCAGCTACTGCAGAGCAGAAGGCTTACCAGTAAGGTGAGTCAGGGGGCTTATAGGAGATGCATATTTTTTATAACATGTGGAGGAAAGATTCAGTAATATTCAAGACCCATACCAGCGAGCAGGGTGGTCTGATGGGGGCTCTGTCAATGTCCGGCTGTTTCTACAATACGAGCCTAGTTTGGGGAGTCCACTTAGGACAGTTTTGTTTCTTCACACTAATGGTCTAGCAGAGCTTTAATCTCAGGGCTCCAAGGATCAGAGGACCCTGTGTGGTAACCTTTGATGATGGGGGGAGATACTCCCCTAAGGGACTTCATTTCTTTCTCCAGGGATTGGCTTTAATCTCACATATGCTTCCCTGAAACACAATGCAAGGTATTACATTATAATATAGCATTCCCTTAAGAAGATGCTTGCTTGGGACCAGCAGTTAGCATAATGGCTATGTTGCTAGACTCTTGTGGTTCGTGTCCTGGACCCGATGGCTTAAATTCATGCTAGGCACATGTGTGTGTGTGCCCAAGATCCCGAGAGGAGAATGGAGGAGGAGGGATTGCGGCGTGGCCATCCCTCCTGGGGGGGTGATTTCTCGCTTTCTGTCTCTCTGTCTCTCTCTCTGTCTGGCGAGTGCCCACCCCCAAAAAAAAAACCCTCCAAAAAAAAAAAAAAAAAAAAAAAGGAAAGAAGACACTTGCTAACACTGAGGAGGAAAAACAAACTTGTCTTTCCAGGTGAAAAAAGCCAATGCCCAGAGAAGAACATGAATGACCTCTGGTCATACAGCAAGCTGGCAACTCTGGAGACTGAAATCTTTTTTTTTTTTTTTTAATTAATAAATTTATTTTTCCTATGAGAGAGAAGGGAACCTACAACAGGGTCCCCATGCCACAATCCCACCCCAGTGTCAGGGAGCCCAGATCATGGGCAGATATATACTCAGGAAAATTCCAGATGTAAATTCAAGACCCACCTTATGAGGGTCCCTCTGTGCCACACTGCACCACTGCCTGGACCCTGGAGCCTGGAATCTTGAGTACAACTATTTGATTCCCCTCAGAGGCACCCGGAGGCCAGAGGAAACAGATGTCCAAGAAAATCTAAGTAGAGGATTCTGGTGCTAAAAGGAATTCTCTTTATGAAAGCTTTGCCTTCCAACCTCACAGATAATGCTTGGTAAATCCAACCCCTCCAGTTGAAAAGAAAGAAATGTAGTGGAAGAAAAGGGTGCAGGAAAAGGTATACAGACCTCGTGACTATCAAGTGAATTTCTACAGGATGAAAGAGCACAGTGATTAACTCTGAATAATAATGTGTTAGTGTTTGTAAAAACTGCCCATGGGTGTGTGAGCTCATCGGAAACAAGAGACTCAGAAAGGGAAAAGGAGAAAGAGAAAGCACTCTCCAACGGAGCATGGTCACACCACAATCCCTTTGCCTCCATTTCTCCATCCTACTGGGTACTGGCGCACACACACACACACACACACACACACACTCATCTTCTCAGAGCACCGTGTTTTCACCCCACCACCTGAGCCCTGGTGGTGAACATTTTGTTTGTATGATATTTTGTATATTTTATCATCCTTATTATACCAAAGCACGGGGGGCAGAAAACATGCTGAGCTTTTACGATGTCTGCCTCCAAATTCAGCACCATGGAGCGCTTCATCGTGCTGCCAGCAGCGGAGCCTGCATGTGGAAAGAAATGACAGAAACCAACGTGAGAGCAGAGGAGGCTGAATATCCTCAGATATTGGACAATAATCAGAGACGAGCTAGAGCTGGTGCCACTGGATAAAGGGAAGAGAGGATGATGGCCTTGAGGACACTGAATGGTGAATACGGTGGGTCCCAGGCATTTCACGTGGTTCATAGCTCAGAGAGAGGCAGTCAGGAATCTGACCCACTGTTCTTCTGGTTCAGTCTTGTGTGTTTCTATTCTAGGCTTCTACCTCGTATTCTGGGTTCCTCTGGTCTCCCTCTGCCTAAATTGCTGTAAAAATAAGCAGGGACAATAATTGTAGTATTAAACTGCTGCTGGCCTGACTCTGCTTATTACTCTCATTCACACTCTGGTCTCCTCTGGTGGAATAGGACGAACTCTAAGCCATTCTTCATCTCTCTGGATATTTTTAGCTGGCCAATGTTACAGGTGCCAATTCCAAGGTTTGGATTAGACCAGGACTTGCAAGGGACTTAGATTTGTTCTAGGATGAGTCATGAAGAAGGTGCTGCCTGTGTGGTTGAGCTTTGCCTACTTAGATTCACTTTGGCTGACGAAAAGATGGCCAGATAAGCTCTTGTTCAGACTGGCACGTGGTTTCAAGTGCTTAGTGATGCTTGTAATAATTGCATGAAAGACTCAGCCTCAGTGGTACAGTTGGTACCATAGTGAACTGCAGTGCTAGAAGCCACATGGCTGCCAAGTGTTCAGGTCCCAGATCCAGGGGACCTGAAATGCACCAGGTGTGTGTGTGAGTGCCCAAGATCCTGCCATGTGGGGGAGCTGTGGGGAGGGGATCATGGCATGGTGAGTCTCTGTTGAGGGACTTCTTTCTCTCTCTTTTTTGAGTGTGTGCACAGGTACTTTCTATCACGAATAAAAGAAATAAACTTTTAAAAAATGAAATAAAAATAATTACAATGGGACATTGTTACCATGGGGGCAAACTTGGATATATGGTCACCCTAGAGCAGAACACATTTCTAGCATAACTACCTTGTCTCTTGGAGCTGCCCTGGACCTTGGTCCTATTTAAACAGTCTCGATGTCTCTATGCCGAGAACAGAGGACCTTTGCCTTCCTTAGTGTCTCTAGCCTTGACCTTGAGGCGTAATATGCCTTTGCGTAGATGCTTATTTAACTCATTAGTAAACATAGAGCTGAGTTACACAGTTCAGTAAGAGGGAGGTGAGGATGGTACTTCCCTGGTCAGAATGCAATTAATCTACCGCAGAGATGAACAAGACCCATGTAAAGGGCTTTCTTTGGAGAGTTTGTGTAGCTAAAGTGTTTTGGTAAAGTGTCCTTCACAGGCTCAACTCTCGTGGTAAATTATTTGACACAATGGGATGGTTCATTCTACTCTCTACTCCAACCCATCTTGCATATTACCATTAGAATAATCATCTTCTCCAAATTCTCTCATCATAATTTCTACTTCCATTTTTTTTAGCTTAAAGACTTTATTTCCCACAGGTGTGACAACTTGTTAATCATCAACATCATCCAAATCATCGTCAGCTTTGTTTAGGTTTCTCGGCCGTAGAGCAGCTTCAATTTCCGAGTCACTGTCGTCAGACTCACCCCAGAAGGCTCTAGATTTGAAATTGGCCACTGGTTTCCTTTTGTCTTCACGCCTTGACAAAGGACTTCCTTCGCCAG